AAAACAATCTCGGAGATACATAGATAATAAAAAATGTATTTTGACATCAGTTATCCTATGTTTACATCTCTCTGATACTCAGTTCGATCAGTGAAGTTGGTTGTAAAAAACATTCATAAAAAAACATTATAATAATCGTTTTTGTTTTATATATAACATGGATACATGTAAGTGTTTTGTAATTTTGAAGTCAAAATAAATTTAAAAAAAACATACAAAAAACTATGAACAGTTATACTATACAATTTTGAATTTATTTGTATTCTGAGAAATCGTCAAAAAAATAATTATTATGTATCTGATATAATGTCGTAGGTGTTGAGCTTGATCGATTTAAATAAATAATTACGCATTTTTGTTTTAATACAATTTATTGGATTGAATCAATGGCAGATATATCCATACAAAAATGCCAGTACAATGTTCAAATTTATTTTGTAATAACCTTCACTACATAATATAACCACCAACGTCCTAATTTAAATCTATTTTAATAAATATATTGATTAACATTCGTTTTTAAATAAATATAATTTGATTGATAAACGAAAACTGATAAAGTTATAAAACCATCAACGAGATAACTCTGAACCACGACTATTAACGTTGACTAATAGTGCATTATCAATGTTAGCTGTGTGCGATCACTAACCGATAGTGATCATCTATATCAGAATGGGTATGAAAAAATATATTCTTCATAAACTCATCGAAACAATTCAGGACAATAAAAAAGTTTTAACCCAGAGATCAGAGCTTTAGTCATTATTACGATATTGTACTCGTACAACTGAATCATGTCGACACAAAACGTACACATCAAACCACGTGCGATCTAAATAAACTGTGTGAATATTCGACGGTTGGAAAAAAAAAACACAATTATTATTCACAAAATGACGGTTGTATCCTTCTCGACAAACCTTGCAGGCAACACAACACGCACGATCGTGTGTGTATACTGTATAATGTTGCTCGCCGTATAATAACAATGTATGTGAAACCGTTATTGCTCGAACGACTAAACGCATAATATTACAAATGCATAATATTATCATGATATATGTATTTATATATATATATTATAAACTCCGAAATCCTTTCGAAAACGTTACAATGTTATAATATAAGCGTCCTACTAGTGTAAGGATGTCGTAGTATAATATCATATAAAATTATTATGATGACGTATAAAATATACTCGCGATACAATCATTTAACGGCCGCTGCTTGAACGTATCCTTTCCCGTATCGGATCGTCGGCCTCAAGTCCGGCCCGTCGCGAATTCCGGTCGTACCGGCGGCGGCGTTGTGATTACCGCAATAATTTTAAACCGATAATTATTCGGCGGCGTCGCAACAAAACCGTTACCGCCCCCGCGCGCGTCGGCGAGGGTATTACTTCCGGCCCGTCGGCTGTAATGTTATTATTACGGACGTCTCCGAACCATCCCGTCACATCGCGTCTGCACTTTCCGTGATATAATATTACATCATGACGTTGTAACGTACGTAGTCGTAATAATGTGCGATGCACGTCTGATTAAAATACAATAACAATATTAAAATGACGCGCCCGCGAAAATCGCATTATTGTTATTATTATTATTATTATTATTATTATAACTTTCGTCAAGTCGATGCGGACACGATAGTGGCTTAAAATAATAACAAACGTATACCGCGGGTCGGATATATACACAATAATTAAAAATTTAATGTGAGCTCTAATTAAACTCTTTAATTTAGTGAGATCTACCTACGTCTTTGGGGACCACTTTAAACACGATTTAGTGACATGTAATTAGTAGGTTCGAGTTATGTGAACCGTTAAAACGATAGGTTTACTTATGCTACACGGCATAAGTATATTTTATACTCAGTCCCAGAGTATTTTAAACCGTGACCACGATAATACGTATAATCATTCGTCAAGTCATCGGTTGTCATTTAACGATCGATATACTATATGGTAACGACGACGGGCAGTCATCTCTGGGGACGATATTAATAGTGCATATTATGTCGAATGTTGCATCTGTTATTGGAGCTCTTAGATGACGGTATTAGGTTTGGCGCGTGTCCATATAGCCATACGCGAATTAGTCGTTTTTCGCGTACACACCGACGTCAGTGCTGGTATACCTTATTACAGCTAGTGAATTCGCGTTTGCTCAGAATTCGATTACAAAACTTAGTTCTACATAGATCTCAACGGCTGTATGGTATCATGGTTTCATAACAACATATTAATATAATTATTATATTTAAACAGTATTCGAAAAAAAAATGTCTTCATCGGCACGGGCACCGCTACGATTGTATGTTGCGCGTTAATAAACTGTTTAGTGCCTAACCTACCTATGTTTTATTTATGCAATCGTATAATAAAAAACGCAGTAGGTTTATCATAATGATATGTAATAATATATTCATTCATACGGAATCGTATTTTAATTTCGTCCACGTTAATATTCGTCTATCGAACCCCCACAACGCATATTTACAATTACGTAAAACCATTTCAATCGCACTAGAAAAACAATTATTTATTTTAACAATACATAATCGTCAGTTTATTGACCTCAACATAAATATATAATTTAACTTAATTTATGTGCATTTATTGAAATTATAAGCACGACCTACTTATAATCAAAAATTATACTTAACCGTACGTATAAAATATAAATATTTATAATAATTCGTTTATTGAGAGGTGTACCGCGGGAAGTGTCTTTCATTGCAAACTTAATTTTCTTCCAATTAAATTTGTCTCTAAAAATGCCAAAATATCTAAATTTAATTTGTTGGGAATTTTCGTTAGAATTTTATTTTTGAATTTATTCGGCAAAAATATTCTTTATTCAATAACAATTAAATGAATATTGTTTTGTATTTTTTTTTTTTTTTTTTTTTTTTTTTTTTTTTTTTTTTTTTTTTTTTAACATGAGTACATTTTAAATGAACGTTATTATTAAATTATATTAATGTTAAATATATTCTGTATTATACTAGTTGTATAATACTTGTGGGTATTTAACTTCATCTATGTATAACTACAAAAATATAATATTAGACTTTACTATGGAGTAACATAATATATTTTTATTTGTTGTAAAAATGTATAGCTTATTTAATTTACCTCACTTACTTAATAAAAATTAAATACTTCTATAAAAAAATAAAAATACGTAACTGAGGTTTGATAGAGTTGTTAAATATTTAATAGCTGACATGTCTATGCATTTATCTTATAAATAATTTTTTTGAAAAATGATTAAGATAAGCATGTTTATATACATATATATGCATATTGTATATGTACAGAATATATATACATTTATAAAGATACTAAAGCTTAGCCTCAATGTTTAATTCCCAATGGAATAATTATATAACTGGTATTGAATATACCTATATATAATAACGTGTGAAAAAATCAAATAAATATGGAGCAAGGTCAAATCCTGACAATTGTTTTTAAATAATTATTATATCCTTGAAACGCATGCACAGCTATAATTTATCGACATCAATGAAACATCGTTGATCTTAAATGTTTAACGAAAGACGATTGTCATAGTAATCTGGAATTAAATCATAGACGGAGGAACTAAATAATTTTTTTGTGGTTCCAATATAATACGCACCAAGAATTACATAAATTAGATTAATACTATACAAGATTTTACTAATTTAAAAGTTAAAAGTTACCAGTACAAATTGTGTTTTTACTACAATGTTTGGTTGAATATTTTTGACTAAAATATTTAAATATCATTCAAACTACCTACATTTTTCGATTATAAAATGAAGTCCCGCAGTATAGAATAAATTAAACTTTGAAATATAAAAGTTAATGTTAATGTTTTTTTTTTTTTTTTTTTTGAGTTATAAACGCCAAACAGCATTACGTCAATAATTATATAAATGATTAAATTATGATAACGTGTTAGTCTAGGTGAACTAGGTGAATAGCATGTACCTAGTTATTATTTAAAAAATATAAAATATTTAAACGGTTTTAGTACAGTGTTTGTAAAACACTATAATAATAATTGTATGCAATCAAATTAATAGTATACTAGCTATATTTGATCAGACAATTAACGATTTATTATGATAGACAGTTATAACTGTTTTATACTCGTCTAAAGCAAAAATGATATTGTAATTTTTTATAATATGATTAATTTATGGTATCGATAGTGTAATAAATGCAAAAAAAAACTGTACTAACCAATAATCTATACCTAGACAGATTATTAAACCTAAGAATAAAAACAAAAATAAGTTGAAATAACTTCGACATTGAAATGGTGGTGTATTGTAATACGTGGATCTGATATCCTTCACCGGGCCAATAATATAGGAAAACAATTCAAACCAGGTCACAATAACAGCTATAAGTCTAGTCCACCACTGATGCCTCAAGCTCGTGTTATTGATATTACCTATATATGTTATAACTACCTACACTATCGGATTACAGGTAATCAATCGCAAGTATAAGTACCTATAATATAATAAACATGCATAATGATATTATACGCACACATTATTATAGTACTTATGTTATAGTATATGCTAACACTTTTCTACGAATATTACGTATGCCTATCCAATTAGACGGCGTCTAAATAAACAGATACCTCCACATAACGGGGCGAAAGTGGTTGCCCGTCGAGATTTCTTTTGACAAATTACACGAACAATTTTGTTTTGATTAGCAATTTTCATTACTATTACTTGTTATTATAATTGATATTAATACCGTTTTATTACCGATTTATTACCGGCGGGGATGAACCGTTTGGCCAATTCTTCGCCCTGGGCGACAGTTACGCCAATTGACTACACACCAATACGTTGATCGATTTACGATATTCTCCGAAAATGATGTTGTTTATCGTATACGGACGTAATTATACATTACGTACTCATCCTAAGGGTGTCCGAAGTAGGGTCGACGGCTATATTTTTATAGTATATAAATTTCGAATCGTTCGTCACTAGCATTAATATAATCTGTCAGTTCGATCACTGTTCATCAAACAAATTATTGTCGTATCAACTAAACTTATTCACACAATGGCGGCCAAAGTAAGTGTTTATTATATTTTATACTTTTTTCTGCGGTTTCTTGTAGATTTATATTGGATAAAGTTATATTTAATGTTTTTTTAAGACATACGTTTAAAAAAATAATTAAGCATGTGAGAAGGTATGGCTATTTTAGTGCTCGTATGTAATATTATTTTGTGGCGATACGCAATAATATAAAATAAATTATAGTTTAATTAAATAACTTCTAAGAAAACAAACAAACAGTTCTAATTTATCGTTTTTCTGGACGTGATGGATATTTTAGTACATCAATAGTTACTTCATGACTTGTTTTAATTTAATTTTTTCCGGTAACATCTACAGAGCAATTTTTTTACACGATTAGATAAAAAATATTTATTCAACATAATATTATTTGAATTTAATTATCAATGGCGGAATTTCTTATAAAATAATATTGTATTACCAGCGTCTAACATTTATAATATACAGTGTATAACTAATGTGTTTTTGTACTACTTAATTACTTTCAATTATAATCCTTAAAGAAATTTAAATTTATTAAACTCAAAATTTTTAAAAGCTTAGATTTTTTTTAGTTAAATATAATATATAGTTGTTTTTTTTAAATATTCTATTATACGTTAAAAAAAATATTACGAGATTTTGAAAGTAAATAAAATTTAAAATATTATTCTATACAATATTAAGTATTTACACGTATGTTTAATCTCAATTATCATTTGAATAGATTATTTTTTGTATGTATTATGTTAGTTATTATTATGAGCACAATACAATTAATATGAAACTGGAATATTAATGGTGCCAAGACCAAACGATCAACGCTATAATTTGAGTTTTTTTCAATTTTCATTAAAATATATTATGGTCTTATAAAGTTAAAATAAACATGTTAAGGGCACTCCCTTTTTTTTTTTTAACAATGAAATATTTAGAGTAAACATAATATTATATTATACTTAGGTATTTAATATACGTGACCAAACGATAAACCCTTCAGTTAGAGGACAATATTTGTCACAAATGAAAAAATCTGTAACAAGGCCAAAACGATAATTATTATCGATTTCAGGTTTAAATTTTACTTTCACGGTAGCCGTATATTATATTAATAGTTTAATAATTTATAACATTTTAAATTTAAAATAAAACTACTTTATAGCAATAATTTTCAGAAACCAGATTTTCTATGTCGATAAAATGCAATCATAAAAAATAATATTATCGGTGGAATTCTTAATTGAAAAATCACCATGACATTTTTTTCTGTCTTCTCTTAACTCATAAACTGATAACGATAATAATCAATAAAAATAATTGCATTTAACTGAAGTACGCGTATATAAAATAATCTCTCATAAACAAGTTGCAACAAGTTTGAAAAATGATACTTTGTGTTAAAAACCAATATAGATATAGTATAGATAATAAAATATACATATTAATATAATTTTCATCGATTTTATTCAAATTTAAATTTTCGATTTAGCTATACCGTTTTCACGTAAGATGAAAGTATGATAGTTAACTAATTTAATGCAATAAAATTCGTATTATAATAATACGATAAAATAAATGAAAATAATAGTATTTTTTCTATGAAAAAAAAAAAAAATATCTAAAAAAAAAATGAAATATATTGGGTTTCGTGTTAATATATTTTATAATTTGATTTGAATACTTTTGAAAAAAAAAAAACACAGCATGTTAAATCATTCTTAATTATTAAAATTTATCAGTAATATTTGTAAATGAAAAATATTTTATAATAACTATAATAACGGACGTAGTAGGTAATTTCAAAGTATATAATATCGTAATAATATCGTATATAATATATTATAATAGCAGTCGGCTTTTTTTTTTTATGTCGGCTGTACATATAGAAGTCGAAACCGAACCGGTTTTATGTTCCACTGATATACATCTGTCAAAGTGTGTTAGTTGTGCGCTTTCGTTTTTATCATAACGCTTTGCCTTAATAAGGTGGCTAATATTATGTACCAACGATATTATATTTTTATTGACACTATAGATTTTAATATTTTAGTATACCTGTAAATTAAAAAATTAACAACCATGTACAGCAAATCAATTTTAGTTTCTTTTCATAATAACTACGAACTTTAATGTTGATTTACTGTTGCCATTAGTTTTTTTAAACTATAAATTAAACCAAAAATACAGCAATAATTAGTGTTTAGTACACTTTGCTGTTATATTTTATTACATCGATCATAGTTTAAATCACGTATTTTTCTAAAGTAATTTGTTATAAATAGGAATTTTTATAAGTTGAATTATTACTTAGTATAATAATATAGTTATATCTTGATCAAAAATAATATATGATACAGTAAAACCACTTGTTTATTTTTCTTTCACTGACACGTTTTATTTCTATTTAACATTGCACAACTCTAATGTAGTGATTAATTATAGTTAAAAAATGCAATGTTATCTAACTATGGCTTATGGAAATACATTATGTATTGGTATGACACATAATCACATTAAATACAGTAATTTATGTATCTACAATATGTGTAGTTACTATTATATTTGAATAAATATTGACGATAAAGAGAAAACGGAAAATTTAAACATTTTTGAACAAAATTTACATTTAAAATATTTTATGTTGTTAATTTATTTTCTAATTTAATTTTTGAATTTATTATTCTAAAAATATAACAACATAGTTAGCGCAATGTTTATGAAAAAATTCAAACATTAGAAGAACAAATTGTATAATGTAATGTGTAATATGCTTGAAAAAATGTATTATAAAATATAGCAACAAGCTGCCAATCTAAGAAATGTATTATATTTTTTTATATTCACAGGCCTTAATAATTGCCTGTTTGGCCATTCAAGCCAACATCATTGCTGGATTAGATTGTTCGACTTCACATTCGTCTGGATATGAACAAAAAGAATATTCTTCACCATCGTATTCACCTTCCTCTTACTCAGCTCCATCATATGGCGCTAAGCCTCAGTCCTATTCAGCTCCACAAGCTTACTCTTCTCCTTCATACTCAGCTCCGTCGTATTCTGCTCCCCATTCCCAATCTTATTCTGCTCCAGCTTATGGTAAACCACAATCTTATTCAGCTCCTTCTTACTCTGCCCCATCTTACTCTGCTCCAGCTTATGGTAAATCACAATCTTATTCAGCTCCTTCTTACTCTACTCCATCTTACTCTGCTCCAGCTTATGGTAAACAACAATCTTACTCTGCTTCGTCTGCGTCCTATGAACAA